ACACGTAGTTTTAAGACTAAAAGATATAGATTTTACAAAAAAATCAGGATGAATGAGGATGCATATTCGTATGACATCGGTGTTCTTCCCTTTTCTACAATTGGTATTTTTGTTCATTGTAATAAACAAAATAATAATTTGATCTAAGTAAGGTTTTTGCTTCTTCCCAATTTCTAAAAAAATCCTCACATGATAGAAAAAGTTAATATTATTTTAAAAATCTATGTAGCTGAAATATGGAACATCCATTATTACTCTGAACATTTTTAAGTGTCAACAATGGTTCAGCAAATTTCGTTCAGGTGACTTTAGCCTTAAAATCTGTGATGGCAGTGGCTGACATACTGGAATTGATATTGATGTTCTGAAGATGGTTGTTCAGTCTAACCCAAGGCACCACACTCATGAAATGGCCCTGAAATTGTATTTCTCTCATGAAACAATACTTAAACATCTAAGGAATATGGGAAACTCCATAAAGTAGGTGTTTTGAGGCCTTACAAACTCTCCAATGATCGCCATTTCCAATGTGTGAATGATGCATTGTCTCTTCTGGTGCATAATGTGTTTGAACTGTTTTTGGACAGAATTGTCACCAGTGATGAAAAATGGATTCTCTATACAAATATTAAATGCCAAACACAATGGCTCAGTCCTAGACAAAAACCATTTCCGACTCCAAAACCTGGACTCCATCCACAGAAAGTGATGCATTGCATATGGTCGGACAATCCACAACGACCTGTCAATGCAGAGATCTATAGTCCACAACTGGAACGTTTAAATCAAGCCCATCATCAGAAACGCCCTTCACTCATCAATCTGAATGGTGTTCTTCTACACAACAATGCACGTCGACATATGGCACATTTTACGCAACACAAGATCATGGAGTTAGGTTGGGAAGTTTCCCCCACCCACCATATTCTCCAGATATGGCATCATCAGATTACCATCTTTTTCGTTCACTGCAACACCATCTTAATGGGAAAACGTATGCAAATGTGGAAGGTGTTAAAGAGGATATCAACATGTTTTTGCTTCAAAGACAAGTGATTTCCTTAATCAGGGTGTTAACAACCTGATTGTTAGATGGAAAAGCATCATCTATAAGAATGGAGACTATTTCATTTAATAAGTGTTTTGTTTTGATATATAAATTTTTGGGATTTTTTAATCTAAAAATAGTGACATTAATTTCTTGAAGACCTTATAGGTTTAATTGATTTGTGGCTTTATATATTTGTCATTTATTGTGACTTTTGCTTAACTTTTTCTTCTATAGTTTCTAGATCTTGATGATTTAATTAATCTCTTGTTAAGCTGATTCTTTTGAGAAAAAAGAAATTAAGTGTAGTTTTAAATAAAACAAAGTTATTCATTATTTGATTTGCAAGACAAATAGGGTAATAAAAATAAAGAAAAATAAATGAATGCTTGAAAAAAAATTAAAATTTCACATTTCTGGACTCTCTTTGTCATGGTAAGTAGACTATAGGACTTCATAATATTCCCTTTTGTATATAACTTAATACTAATTACAAAGTAGTTTTATCCTAAGTTTTCATTGCTTATCTGTTGTAGTCTTCAAGGAGATCCAAAGAAAACTTTGTTTGTAATGACCAGGATGTGATCTTGGGTCCTCTTGATGTAACTTTGGTTTGTTATTACTGGACTGAGATCTCCATTTAAGAATTGAATGAATTAATTATTTGAATGTGTTCAGTAGGGACATTTTGGTTTTGCTGACTTCTATGCTCTGAATATTGTTCTGACTTTTGTTTTTTTACATATTTGTAAAAATGTACCGTAGAAACAAAATGTAATTGTATAATTCATTCTGTTTTTTTCTTTTGTTTTTCAGAATAATATTACGGTACCAGAGTCAAATGAGGTAAATCTTTATGAGTTCAAATGATTCATTTTATATTAGTTATTTAATATTCTCTGGGTTTATATATGTACATAAGAAAGCAGTTAGTAAGGTTGTGAAATTATTGGGTGTAAAATAAATATTTGCTTTTTTTATTGACATTGATGTGGAGGTTGTGTCTGTCAAATTGTGTTAAAAGCTATTTTAAGTTTATTTTCTTTATACATGGAATTTGTGTAAAGCCATACTTTAATTAAAAACTAGAAAGTTCAAACTGCATAGGTACCTCTTTCGTTTCTTTTGTGTTTACATGCTAATTTTTTATGTCACAAATGTCAAAATGTTGAAAATTTAAGTTATTATTATTTTTGAATATGTTATGTATTTCATTAAATATAATAGCCTGAAACTGATAAAAGTATTTCTTAATCACTGTAGATAAGAATTGATTTGATATTATGATATCTACACTTTGAGATTAATTAATGCCACTTCTCTTGGCTTGACCAAAAAAGTAGTCCATTTAATTTTAAGTACACTATTCATAATTTTGTAATCTTGTATGAGTTAATCTGTTTCTTGTAAGAATTGTTATGCTTGATTTATTACATGTTTAATGACTTCCTGTTATATCATTAATAATAATTTCTGTGTGAAAGTAAGGTATATACTATTATATGTACCACACTATAACTGCTATATCCAGTACTGATGAGGAATTTTGCCCAATATCAGGGCTCTTCAAGCCATTTGAAATATGACACGACAGAGCGGTGGAAACATTATTTATTTTAGAAAATCTCTTGACAACAACCATTATGGTGTGGGCTGGATTAAATTAGTGAAATGTAATTTTTTATGAATTTTATTTGTGTCACAACACATCAGCTGAGAATAAACTGCATATTATTTACTATATGGTGTTTCATTAGATAAATTTACAGCCAGTGGTTGTCAACATTTTAAGAATGACAAAATGTGACCCGATTTCAATGAAAATGATTTACTTATGTATAAGTACATATAACGTTTTGTGAAAAATCTGTAAGTGATGGAGAAAAATGGATATCATTTTTGGATTCAGGGTACAAATGTAAAAATTTCAAGACAATAAAACCATCTCAGACCTGTGTAATTACTGTTTTACACAACCTCTTGTTGCCATACCATAAATAAATAATATTGAAAAACAAAAAATTTCAAAGAGCACAAACACACACAAATACTAACCAGAAATGACACATCATGTAGCCTGTTAACCATTTACATACTAGTGGTGTGTTTCTCGTGACTCTCACGTCACAATTGGTTTAACTTTGAAGCTCATATTACGACCCAACTCTTTGAATTTATCGAGCATGTTATTGACAATATTTTCGTAATTTGGGTACTTGTTGTTTCTGAAAAATTTGTCAATAATATCTTTAAAGGCAATCCACGTTTCTTTTTCCACTTTCCTCATTGTCCTTCCAAAGTCAATTTCCAAATATGAGGCTCAACAAATATTTACCACAAATATAACAGAATATGTTTGGGTCATTTAATTTTTTTACACTCACGTGTTGACTATTTTCCTGAAAATCTCAGTGCCATCAGCAAAGAACAAAGAGATAGGATTCATCAAGACATCATGGAAATGGAGAGGAGGTATCAGGGAAGGTAGAACATGAGGGTTATGGCTGATTACTGCTGGTCATTGAAACGAGATGCTGCAGACACAATACATAAAAGAATGACCACAACACGTAGTTTTAAGACTAAAAGATATAGATTTTACAAAAAAAAATCAGGATGATTAAGGATGCATATTTGTCAGTGTTCTTCCCCTTTCTTCAGTTTGTTTGTATTTTTGTTCATTGTGGTCAACAAAATAATAATTTGATCTAAGTAAGAGTTTTTTTTCCTGATTTCTAAAAAAATCTTTACATGATAGAAAAAAATGAAGGTTATTTTAAAAACCTGTGTAGCTGATTTATGGAAAATCTGTTATTAAAACCAAAACAACTTTTATGAAGTTTAAATTTGCAGGCCTGTGCCATTAATAATATGTTTTTAATATACATAATTTTTTACTAAATTTATCTGTCTTCCACATTTTGCTTATTTAATAACACATGCATGCATGCATGCACAGATATACATACAGTAATATCTTGCAAAAGTTAAGAGGGCTAGATGATTCTAGTGGCTTCCCTTCTACTTTGGTGTAGCACCCCATTGTTTTAGACTGAATGAATATTGCTATTATTTAGCAGGTTCAGATGGGTGTCTGGTACATTTCATATATATTCTTGTTTAAAAAGCTCGACCAGTTGTATTACCACTAGCAACTTATTATCTAATATTTTTAAATAACTTCTTCAGATGGTCTTAAATTCCAGACATTTGGGAAGCTATTCCAAGATATTGGTATTTTCACTTTGAAACTTTTTGCAGAAAAACGTATTGGCCAACCAAGAAAAAACTGCCATGAGCAATGAAACATGTTAATCTATAGGCATGGTAATGACTTCAACCAAGGTAAAGGATTGGATTAACACTATCATATCTATGCATATACTGAGTTTTTGGTCAAGTCTAAAGTATTGGTATTATTCTTCTTTTTTGTGAACAGATCTAACATTGAAAAGAGCAGCTTCATATCAGTTTTAGATTAAGAGAAATAAGCAGTGAAAAGTTGTAAAATTATTGTTTTTCTCTTTGTTGAAGAGGACAAACATGTAGTAATTAAAGGAGGATTGACACTAAACAAAGTTCATTTGGCAAAAATTAATCTGAACTACATTAACACAACTGCAGCACATATTAATACCGTTTATGATTAATGTTTTGATAACTTTAATGCTGAACTGCTTTTCAGAGCCACTACCTGTAAGTTTATCTTATGACTTAAGGGCCTAGGAGTATAGAAAAATCTGAAGTGATAGAATGGCATAGTGTTTTAAGTTATCGAATCTGGCGTTCAAATCCTACTTTGTGTGGAATCCTATTTTTAATTGATTTTGAGATAATAATCAAATCAAAAAGTACTGACATCTGGTCAAAACATTTTAAATGTATGAAAATAGCCAATTATATAATAACTTTTATCAGAAGAGTTGTAAAACTCCACAGTATAAGGGTCAGCTTGTGAGATAGCAAATTCTGTTTTTATATGATTATGGTTGTGTTTATCATTCATTTATTATTTCCTTCTATTGTTTATGATAAAGTTTTTATTAATATTGGTGTAAAGTCCTGGTCAGGCATTTGCTTATTAACTGTGTTGAATTTATTTCTAAGTGCTTTTATTGTGAATAAATTGTGTTTTTGTTGTTGAAACCTGATTTTAGTGTTATAAGCTATATAAAGATGTGATATTAAAAAAAGAACCAAACTCCTTAAAGATTTAATGAAAAAGTGGGTAAATTAAATAAGAAAAAATTGTGGGAAACTTATTCTCCTTTTTTTATTACAATTGGAAGAATTAGCAACATGAAAATTAAAAGGGGGCCAAGTTTTCGCAAATTTTTTTCCTGCTTAATCTTCCTAATTTTATATTACATTTTTATAAGGTTTGCCTTTTTCATAACTTAGCATTTTTTTATATCACCTAATCATATAAAGTTCATTTTTATTTATGCAGAACACTGGATCCAGTCTTTATATATTGTGATCTCTTTTGCATTTCTACATTGTTTGAGGCAATTGAGGTTGCAGCAAAGCAAGATTTAATTTGCGGTGAAAATGGATTTTTTTGCACAAATCTAGATATTAAGGAGTTGTCTTTTTCTTTATGTAATTTTAAATTACCAAAATATTTGTTAAATGTTCTTCAAATGAATGATTTTACTTGCAGTAGACTGAAGATAAATTCGATTTTGTGATAGTATTTTGCAATTACACATTATTTGTAGTTGTTTGTTTACCTTTAAAGTGTTTAGTTGATGTAAATGAAAAAACTTGTTTTTGCCTTTTTTGGACTTTTGTATTTTATTGTTTCGTTTAGGTTCTAATAACCAGGATCATTATTTTTTATACAAGTTCAGATTTCCGTGTCAAATATTTTTATTTTCCTTTTTACATTAAGTTTCATGAAACTTTCTTGTACTTTAATGTTTTAATGTATTTTCCAGAATTCTTACAACTGTTTCTGCTCATCACACACCCTATTTTGTATTAATAATACTAGCTGTTAGTGGTAACAACTTATCTCAGTATACCTTTTGAAGAAAAAAGAGCACTCTTTGGTGATTGCTGTGGGTGGAGGCAACCAATTGTGGGATTTACCAGCGAAATTTCAGTGTGAGATTGAACATTATGTGGGTCAAACATCTTCTCCTAATGTTGCCCCTCTTCCTCATGAACCTTTTTCTACCACCAGATTTTGCCATGTCTTTCTCTGCCCCATCTGTGGAATCAGCTAGGCCTGCTACAGTGTTTTTGGCTATATTTCTCAGGTATGTGATGTTTTATGTCTTTCCCAGGATATTAAGGTTCATGCTGGGCATTTTGCTTCCCAGTTGGTTGTGGATGCCAGCAGACTGTACATTTCTAGAATCTCAGTTGTTTGGGTCTACTTTGCCTGTATGAGGGTCACTCCCTGATTTTTTGGTGCATTCTCCCAAGCCCAGTTTTCATGCCTTTGTCTTACCCTTACATCTCTTTTGCTGTATTTATTCACCATACTTCTCCTTTCTGAAGCTATGCACTGACGTTCTAAGGATGTTTCATGGGACAGCCTCTCACTTCATAATTCCACATTATTTCTTGGCTTTCACCTTCCACATGTGGTTTCTCCATTGATGGGATCCTCTGGGTCATGATGCAACTTTGTTACAGGTTTGTTGATTGTCCACTTATCTCAGAGTATTCTGTTTTGCCCATCTTTTCTTTAGTAGTATTTTCAACCATATTCTGGGCACTTTGGACTTCCAATCGGAATCCCTGCATCAAATCTCTACCCTTTTCTTCTCAAGCTACTCGTTGGTCGTTGTCAGAGTCTCGACAAGCCCTATTCCTGTTTCCAGTCCTAGTCCTCC